AAATAAACCAAGTAATAAAGAGATTGATGTGTCATTAGTACTTAAGAGTTGATATAAGAGAAAAGATAAATGAATTAAATAACATAAAAATACTTTTGATCCAGATAAGATAATCTCATCAAGATCCGTCATTTCATATTTTGATTCTCCATACCTACTGATTCCATACATTATAAAACCAGTAGGTGGTACACCAATCAGTGGAACTAGCTTCTCCTTCAATTGAGCTAATGTTATTCTCTTATCAACTTGCACCTGTACTTCTGTATTGAATAACATGATGTTTAATGTTCCTTACAATAATGTAAACTCAATATTACTTCTTTTATCTTCTTCATTTATTGATACAACTTTCACTATTATTCCTCCTTCAGGTACATTAGTTGTACTGAGAGTGGCTTCAGGTTGAGGAGGAGGTAGTGTAATGTCCAATAGTATTGAGTTGAAGTAAAAATCAACATATCTGTACATCAAACTATCTTTGTATTCTTTTTGATAATCTAAAGAATCCGATGATACATATATCTAAGAAGAAAGGAGAAAGCATGTGTGTGTGTGTGTGTGTGTGTGTGTGTGTGTGTGCAAAGACAGCAAGGAGGAGGAAAACATACCGTAAAAAGTAACCTAGCTCATGTACATTATTATTGTTACAATCAACATAACCAGGCTTATCCTGACTTGTTCCAATGTAATGCATGATTAATAGTTACTGTTGCATTTCCCTGTAGACACTCCCATGGATTAAAAATAAATTTACAGTACAAATGAATTGCATTATGCATAAACAGAGGTGGCATACAAACAGAGTTGGGCTCACACAAATAATAACTAGCACTTAATAAATGCCAATTAACACTTACTGTTGGTACTACAAGTTGCTCTCTGTGCAGTTTGTGTGAACTGAATACATCTCCTTTAAAGAGCACTTCCTTTAAAGAACTTTTAACATCTTCTAAATGTATGACTGAGCGAGCTTCATCAAGTTCTAGTAATCGTAGTAGCCTCATACATGATGAATTGAGATTAAATAACTATTGAGGGTGAAAGAAGTTGAATAACATATAAAAATCTTTACTCTTACTTCTCCTATATATTGCTTTAATTCTTCAACAGTCCAACCTTCTTCACCTCTTATTTGTTGAGCTGGTTTTACTTCACCAGTTGTCAGATCAACCACTGATATCTCTAGAATAATACCTACACCATCAAACACATGTGCATGTACATGTATTGTAATGAAAGGCATTGTCATGGTAACCAACCACACCGACCTCCAGTATTGTATTTCTTAAAGGTTTCAACATCTCTACAAGTTTCTAAAAATAATCCACAATATCCAGCGACACCCATAAGTTGTCCAATAGTTTGATGCTGAAACTAGATATAACAATGAGATAATTATAACAATAGACCCCTAAAACTATTTTCAATGAATCATTTACAGTAGCCACCCACGGTGTATTATGACTGGCAGCAAGAAGTTCTCCACATCACAGGCTGATCAAAGCCAAAGGTCCCAAAATGAAGCATAGCAAGAAAACCATGCTGCAGCAAGAGTTACCTGATCTTTAGGATGTGGTCTGGCCTCCATACTTTCCATAAATGCTGTTCTGTAGTACTTTGTAGTGCTCAGAAAAATGGCCAGTTGTTGCGGCCTTTGATCTTCCTTTGATGCTGAGGCTTTCTTGCCATAGGTAATTCACAACGTGGGTGGATACCGTATGTGAAAAAATTATTTATTACGGACAAATAATTATTGTTACTGTAATCATATTCATTAAAAATAGCCTTAGCACGTAGGGGGTCTATAGAATAGGTATGTACCTTATCAAGATCAAAGGACTGTTCCATTTCATCCTTAATGAAATTATATTTAACTAAACGGCATCTCTCAATAGGAATATGAGAAGCTAATTCCATTAACTGATC